AAATATATTAATTAATTTTAAAGTAATAAGAGAACCCATAATAAAATTATAGTTTTAATGAAAAATAATTATGTTTTCCAAAACAAAATGAAACAAAACAAAATTAGTGAGAAGAGTGCCACTGTGTTACATTTTTGCAAATTTCATTAATGTTTGGCTTAATAGAAGACTGCTGGATTCTGATACCTATTTTTGCATTCAGTCTATTTTGATATGTTGTTTTTGTTGAAGTATATAAAAAAATCTGACCTCACACAAATATATATTTGGGAAAGAGGTGTATATTTATGGCCTTTTCAGGTAACCATGGGTATTTTTCTTTGCTACTACACCAAAACTTGACAAGTGGTGTTTTCTTAAAGGATATTTATAATGTGGAATCTGAAACCAAATCAGTGAGCTTTTCACATTCTGCTACATTAAAATCTATTATTTTACCTTGCCCTAAGAAGGGATCTTTTATCATAATAATGATTGTACCACGTATAATTATTTTGTAACTTCATGCATTGGTCATTTGGAAAATAGGGGCTCCCTGAGTTATGCAGATATTTCAAATGTTGACACATTTTATTATATAACATCAGAAAATCATATTTGTTAATGTCACCATTAATCGCATCAGAAAGAGTCCCTAAATATCAGACAGCTGTTAAGTTCCTGCTAGCAGATACAAGTCTCACAAAACTCTACTTTTCACCTGGAAGCTCAAATGTTATCACTGTCAATGAATGCTGTCAGCTGTTTTTCTTGAAGTGACAGGCTCACTTTATTCATTCTCCAAAAAATGGCAATTGCTCAAGTCTGAATAACCATAGTTTCCTGTCAGTCATTCTTTTAAGTAAAAATGATGGTCCATGAGTAAAGTAGTTTTTTTTTTAGTTTAAATAAATTGAATGAAAAATTTAAAAAATTAAGTAGCTAGTTCAATATGCAACTCAAACAAATGCTTTGTTTTGAGAGAACTGCCTACTTCAGTGCATAGCAGAAGTGTTCTAGGCACACTTCACATTTTGTCTGACAGGTGCATGAGGGTTGGAACTTAATCATCACAACCTTGCTGGTGAAGCCGACTTTTTAGTGAGTGTGTGATGGTGACATATGCAATGACTACTAGTACAGATTGATGTCACTGCCTTGGTTTATGCTAAAGCACAAGCAGTTTCACCCATTGTTGCTTATTGCAAAGTCAGTGAAAATATCAACATGATGAAAAAGGAATAGATACATTAGTATTTTTATGAAAACAGTTTTGACCTTTCAGACCCCTGAAGGGGACGCGGGTCTGGCAGGGTTCCACAGATGATAATTTGAGAACCATGGAGCTTCTGCCCCGCGACAGGGGTCTTACCTATTGGTTATCTCCTGGGTAATGTCCAGCAGCTGATGCTAAGTCACCTGTAGCTGAGATTTCTTGCGTCTGTGATCTTCCCACCAGATCGGACACTGTTGATCATGGATATTTAGACTTACTTAAGTGATAGATGTTTGCTGGTGGTATTGATATAAAAGTAATGCATGCACTTGGAAATACAAGTTCAAATATTTCTCTCTGGCCTGGCACTCCAGTCCTGGTTATCAAAGGTAAGTCTATTCCAGTTGTGTTGTAATTCCAGTTAGCTTTTACCTTGGTGTTTGGGTTTGTCACTTTAAGCAGCATCCGTTGGCTCCCCACTTGAACAGTAAGACATTTATTTAGCTCATTTATATTATTGTACCTTGTTTACACTGTTGCTCGTCTTTCTAAGTCTTGAGCATATATTTATATTTTTGTTTCTAGCTCTTTTTGTTGTTTGTGGCTTTACATAATGCACTTAAACATAGATTTCTGCTGAGTTTACCACCGGCCAAAAGCAGGCCAGTGTTCTCCGGAGAGGGGTGAGGGTGGAGAGGTTGAGCTACTCAGGCCCGGTTTCTGCTTCCAACATCACCAGCACGTGGCCGGCCCCTGGCAGGTGGCAGAATGTGTGAGACAGGAGAGTCAAATGCTGTGACAGCTGATGATAAAAGGGGAAAAGCTCTTACCAGTGATCGCATTTGACTTTTGCCGTTGACAGATTGGGAAATTGAGCTCCCCCAAAGAAAAGTGACCTACCCAGTGTTGTTTGGTGAAGAACAGATATTGGACTGTTGTCCAACCTATCCTCTTTATGATCCCAGTTGGACTGAGGACATGCCTGTAATTAATGGGATAGAAACAGCAGGGTTTTATCAAGTTGATCAAAGGCGGGAGTGAGAGTGTATTACTATATTATCATAGCTTTGTATTGTTTTTAAAACGATGATCTTTAACTTCTCATTAGTCTGTCAATTTATTCATTTGAATGTGAAGTAAACCTTATTTTTTGTTGGCATATGTTTCGTGGGCCTTTAAAAGTTTTGGTTCCTTTGAAAGACAAAGTTCTGAAAAGACACTAAAAACCTAAGAGTAAATAGCATTTTGAGCTTGCATTTCTGTTTAAAGTGGTTGAAACTGAAAAAAATTCAGATTCAGAATATTATTTACCAAATAGAGACAAGCAGGCCAGCCTTCTCTGGTCCAATTGTATAAATTATGCATAATACTTAAGAGCAAGGTCTGGTTTGCATTTCAGTTATTGATTTGAAATAGAGCAGCTTGGCATTAGAAAGTAGACAGAAGGCGTTTCCTGCACCTAATTTATTCCCTCATAACCAACTAACAGCTTGCTGCAGGCAGTTTTATGTAAAATTTGTCACAGATTCTTTGGAAATGCTTCCCATTTCACTCGGTTCAGTTCAGTTTTCTGTATGATAAAATGTGGGTGAGTACATTCTTCTTAACAACATCTGGGAGACTTTATGCTATGAGTATTTAATTTGGGAAATTTGCTTTGACTTCCTTGAAAGGGATTGCAAGGCAAATAAAACATTTGCCCTGAATCTGGCAACTGAATGTCTTTCTTCAATTCTTACTGATGCTGTTCGTGATTCCTCTTTCTCTAAGGGATGCTCTGAAGGAGATGGTGAAAATATAGCTGGATCCACTTCAGTGATTTATTAATCATTGTCTTTGTGACTTTTGGGAATAGACTGAGAAATGATAAAACCTCAAAGAGTAAGATAGCTGTAGGATTAGTGGAAGTTGGTGCCAGGCGACATTAAAAAAATAAATTTCATATACTCATAAATAAGTGAGCAAGTCCTTTTGTGACATTTGTTATGAGCACTTATTTATGGAGAACTCTTACTGACAACAAATTGAGGACAATAAATGGCAGGAACCCGTGGTAGCACCTGATGGAAGAAGTGGCCCCCAGATTCTGTTAGGCACACGTGGCCATAGGTGAGAGGCCTACTCAAAGTGGGGTCTTCATATTTTTGGCAATGGCATCAGTGTCACCCTGTCTTTAGTTTTTATCCTCAAGGGTAAAATTCATGGCTTAACCTTCATCTGCTCTTAGTAAAGTAAGTTAAGAGAAGGCAAGCATCTCAAGCCAACACAAATAATTTCCTAAGGATCCTCCACCACAAGTATTCACTGCTCTTTTCCCGACTGGGGATGGGTGTGTGTAATCAAGCCGAGGCAGCTGCGGCAGCACAGAGCTCAGCGACTGAGCGTGACTCGGGGTGAGAGAAATCTCTCCGTTCTAAACTACTTGGGCAGGCCCACCAGTGAGCCTCCAGGCGACAATGTACCTCCTGGCATCGCGGTGCTTATAGCTCTGGAAAGTATAAGACGATAAGTCCTCATAAGCCAGTAACATTGATGGGGTTGGTTTATTAACCAGTCACCAGTGGAATGGAGCATAAGGTAGCATATTTAGATAGAAAATCGGGGTCAGGTGTCTTCCAGGTTGGAGAACTACCAGCCTGTCAGGAGTTGCTTGGAACATGCACTCAGGGTGGGCTGCAACCTGAGACTATCTGATGTCCAGGAAAGGGAAGGACTGGAAGAGAGTAAAGAACGTTTATGGAAGAGGTAGATAAATGTCCAGCTCCCCAGACTTCTTTTTCTGGAGATTGTTTTGCTAGATTTTTATAAAAGAGAGACTAACACCTTTTAAGGCTCTAAAGGGGTCCGTTTGTGGGGAGCAGAGCAGTTACTGGGAGTAAGAAGAGTTATGATCATGCAGGCCCTCAAGTCTGTTCAGTAAGAGGTGGGGTTCTCTTCTTGTATTCGGGGGGCCCACAAGTGACACTAGGAGCTGCTTTACATCTGTTAGAACTAAAAACCGATTAGAAGGATCTTTGTAAGGTTATATTATTAAAAATAAATGTCCTTTTGTCCTCCTTGGAAGTTTTCTGTGCGTCTCTCCATTTTGAATTATATAGTGGCATCTGTGTTCCATAACCACCCTCCACTCTGTCCTTGGCAAACACAAATACCTACTTATTACCTAAAATCACCAGGTCCAAACTCTTCATTTTCTTATCACAGTTTATTGTTGTACATGTGAGGTACCATGCGCCTATCAGAATTATATCCAGGTTTTTTATTTTAAAAAACTCAGAGAAAAAAATGTGTCTAGTAATTTTCATTCAATGTGAATGACAAGAATATTACAGCTATAAACATTGAAATAACCATTTCATTTCTTCCTGAGGAAGTTTCATATTTTAAGCAATGAAAAAGGAATTCTATACAAAGCTAGTTTTAAATCACATTATATCACATTCTTCTCTCATGTATTTTCGTTACTTTCAGAATAGCATCATCACCAGCTGGAGTATACAATATAGCGAGTGTATATAATCCTCTAGAATTTGATGTTGCCTCCAAGGCACATTGAGTGGCCCAAAGTCCTCAAAGGGTTGCTGCTCTAGGCAGCATGATCCCTGCGCTGGGAGTGAGTCAATTTTGGTATGCTCTCTCTCTTTTCTCTCCTTTCATATACAAGATCCAGTATGCTTTTCATATTTATCTTAAAGGGTGAGCTGTTCAGTTGACTCGGTTTACCTAGACAAAATCACGCCATTAGCATTTTTGTTTAGAAATTTAAATGCACATCGCATCACTAAAACATAAGTGTATCTGTTTATTCTTTTTTTTTCCTTTTATCAGTAGAAATATTGTCAAAATGAAAACATGATGTTGTTGGGGCCTATTCCCACTGTGTTTGTCCGTCTTAAGCCAATTTTCTTAAATTCACTGTATGCATTTTTCTGGGCATGCACTGCTTTGAGAAAGGCAGCGGCAAGCGTGGAGACTGAGTTTGCCATTTTCCAAATGCCCTTGATTTTGCTTTTACAGCTAGGAGTTTTAAAAATTGGTTCTTTCTGCAATTCTTTCTGCCAATAGCTTGTTTGTTTAAAAATTTGTGTATCATTTGGGGACATAAAACTTTAAAAACAATTTAATTAATAATTATAATGTAATTTAAAAAATTTATAGCAAGTGGAAGGATCTCAAAATTTGTTGTATAACCAGTGAGTGACTGCTATAGTTTCACACATGACAACAACGAAAATAGTTGGCTTTAGGTTTTCCTTGCATATCTTTTTTTTTTTTTCTAATCATACTTTCAATAACATTTTATAAAGGCTTATACTCGTATAGCCATCACAGGGAATTTATTTACTACTTAAGTTTTATATCTGTAGAGAAGCTTAAAAATTAAGTAAATGCAAACACAGGAAAATAGGTATGACCTTCTCATTTTTGAATATGTTGTTAATAATATAATCACTTGAAATTTAAGTGTAAATATATTTTAAGAACTGTGCCTGGCTCATCTTTGTACTTCTCCCATTTAATTTAGTAGACAACCATAAATTTAACTATGTTCCATGGTCTTCCACGAGAGTGATGTATGAAATGTTCTAAAAAAATGGGACTCGGCCCTATTTTTTTCTACCTTGTATTAAAAGCATCATTGCAAATATCAGATTAACAATCATATATTAATTTGTTTTTTTGTTATAAATCTCTACATTATACAACTTTGTTTTGAACTATTTGGAAAAATGTAGCCTTTCTAAAATTTAAACGTAAATAGCCTAACATATCTAGAGAAACTGTTCTTCATTTTCATTTAATAGGTTTTGTTCTGGGGAATGTTAAAAAAAAAGTTATTCACAGTTAAAAGTCAATCTGTTTCTGGAGATGACACACAACTCAGATTTTGTGCAAGCGTTTCTTTAGAACCAGCAAGGACTACTGGAGATGTGCAGCTCCAAGAAAGCAGACACAAGTTGTCAATGATACATCTTCAGACCCGTACAATTTCTCCCCTTCGGAGGAGCTAGTCAGCACACTTTATGTTGTTATTTACTGACTTGAAATACTCAGCGTACTTCTATTTACCATCCAATGGCTTTACAGCAGTGTAACAATGACATTATGATAGAGGAGTTAGTAATTTTTACATAAATGCACTAGACTATGTGTTTGAAAAATCACTTTTTTTTTTGCTATAGCAGTTATCTTTTTTTAATGCAGATAAAGTTCAGACATAATTTTTCCACTCTGACCTGGCATAACTTGTAATTTACAGTTATTTCTAGATACTTCAGTGGGCTAATATTTTGGCAAGCGTTTCTCACAAGTGTTCTGCCTTCGCCATTTTATGCTGCCTTGTGATGTTTATGCTGCTTCTCGTTTTGTAGGACACTTTATAGACTCAAAGAATAAGAAACATTGTACAGGCAAACAGTGGTCTAGAACCTACAGAAACACGCTCTTAGCTGATACGCAGAAGTGTGACTGGTGCTGTGAAGTGGAGCAGGTCTGCGTTCATGTTTGGCATCTGTATTGGGTGCTGTTGGCTTCAACGTGAGTGCCCAGCAGTCCACGAAATCCCACAGGCTCAATGTGGGGTAAGGAAACGGCAGAGGCCCCAAGGCTTCCGACAGACAGGTTTTCTTTCCTTTATTCCTAATCATCCACGTGCCAGCACATGGAAGGAACTTGGTTCTTGGTTTTCTCATTTGAAGAGGTATATTTTTAAACAGCCTTTTGGTAGCTTCTGGAAGCTTTGGAAAGGTGGGTGTTGCATGGAACGTGGAGTCTCAAGATGTTTCCCCAGTGCTACCTCACTTTCTGCAGCTCCTGTCTCAGCCAGGCCGGCAGGGGTTGCCCCAGCCTGTGCAGCAGCTTGGACAGCTCCGCGTTGTGGTCTCGATAGTAGCTGGAGAGGAAGGCCCTGCTCTGAGGGGGCGGGGAGAGAAAAGCCTATTTCATTCCGTGTGTTACAGTGCACTTCACATCCTTTCACGGTGTTTACATCTGTATCGAGCCTGGATTCAGATTTACAGTAAGCTTGTGGACTGTTCATTCAGGACAATATAAATGCAGTGACTCTATTCTTCAAAATACACACCCTACGTATAGACACTTTTCACTATTGTGGCAAGCCTTAGAAATGCAGTAGGTAAACCAGGTAACTCCATCACCTGGTGTATTTGCACTCTGTGACCCAGGAAAGGGAAAGAATGCCTTGCAAGCTTACCCTTCCTTACAGGGAGGTAGGTTTTCCTTCAATAAATACAAATATTTTAATAATTGAAACTGTTGGAAATGGAAAGGGCCCTGTTGAGAGGTGGCACCCAGTGGGTTTTGCACAGTTTTGATGACCGTGGTCAGGGACGCTGTTGTTGGGGGTGGGGGTGGGGTCTATTTCTCTACCTGTACCTCCTGCTTTATACTATCCTGAGATTTTCTGTTGAGTTGAACTTGGAAAAAGTTTTTATTTGCTTCCTTGTGCTATTCTTTCAAATGTCATACATGGTACTCCATTTTAAATGCGATAGAAAAAGGTCCATCTTGTATGGATTATTTCATGTGACAGATCTGGGCAGGGGTCATAATCATCGGAACTAGCTGAGTATTCGTGCCCTGTTGTCAGCACCACTGTGATCAGGGAGACCCAGAACTCTGTGTGGTTTGTGTATTTCGTCTCGTCTCTCTGTTTCTGGTCTGTCTCAGCCCACAGACCCTGCTGGCACGCTCAGGTCAGAGAAAGGGGAGCTAAGCGCTGTCTCCCCGACACCGCACCCGGGAGCCCCATTGCTTTGTGCCTCCTTTGCTCCAGCCAGGCCTGGGATCCAGGGAGGAGCCCGAGTTTCTGAACACCCCTGTGTGCGCTCTCTGAGCGTCTCACTGGGCGTCTCTCCTCTTTATGACTGACGCTCTGCTCGGAGCAGCTGTAGCTGGCTGGTTCCCTAATACTTCCCCCATGGGAACTGACTGTCCCACCTGGGAGACTCAGCACCGAGCCTCTGGGGATCCATCCCTTTGGAGTTTGGACCAAACCTCCTGATATTGGGGACTAGTTAGCTACTTCAGTTAACTGGCCTTGTGGGCATCGTTTTCAAACCTGGCAAGAGTTTTCATGGCATATTAACAGTTCAAAGCTTAGTACACCAGTAATTATTATTATTCAGGCCCCGCTTACTACTGTAGGGTGATTTAGCGAAACAAAAATGGAAATCTTTTAGTCGTATTTTCAACTTCCAGTTGATATATTTCCCGCCTTGGTTTCAGTTAACATTTTTAGTGCTAATATTTCTGTGAGCATATCTGTCTTTCTGGAATGACATGCTACCTTCTTTGTTCTGATTCAAGGTGAGAAATCCTGTTGTTTTCCTTTATTCTCGCCTGATAGGTGATATATTATTGGAAAGATCAAAACAAACATTGATATCCAAATGTCACTTTTAATTTTTAGAAAGGCTGACTTTTAATTTTAACGACTTTTCTAAGAAAGTAAATCTATTATTATTTAGCATTTTCCTTATTTAGTGTGTATGTGAAGCTCTCTACTTACATCAGGGCCCATTGGCGGGTATTTTCTTCCTTTGCTCTTTCCAAGGCATTTTGTTTTACCTTCTTCCAGTAATTGACACCAGAAACCTTTATGAGAGTCAAACCTAAAAACATTAAAAATACAGAAAACAACAACAAAAGCAGTTTTTTTTTCAAGCAATTTGTAAGCTGTAATGACCCCAACCATGAATATTTTTAATTGGATATTAATCTGTAACCAGGGAAACTGGCGTATTTTTTGACTACATCACTTCGCATGAAGTCTTTTGGCACACTTCTGAGTTCCAGTCCATCTGTCACCTTTGCGAGTATGCCAAATGCCTAATAGAAAATTGTCAGCAGAAGCTTTCCTATTAATAGAAATTAATAAGGCTACCTCTTCATCTGGAAAGGAAAAGTTTTATAAATTTCGAGCCATTCTTTCCCCTTGTAGGGTTGACAGATGACAAGTCAGGCTCCACCCACATCTGCAGATTTGCGTAGTACCTGTGCCATACAGTTGTGGGTAGTAGAAGAGACAGGGTTTGGGTGTGCCGTGAGTAATTATAATAATTTTAGGATCCTCTAGCTACAGTGCATTTCCAGATCTATGTTCATAGATTGCCATGAGTTCTGTGTTAAAGTAACAGTGCCTGTAAAATGTGGATTTTCGCGGCATAATTATAATCAGAGTCTTGGTAGCACGTTCGATTTATATTGTAGTTTACCAAATACATCACGTCACTCTCATCTGAGCTTTAGTTACGACCCCTAAGGACCTGTACTGCAGTTCTCATCCCATTTATCGCATTTAGTGCAGTATGTGGCTTCCTGGGATCTTTTGCCAAATGATAGTTGAGTAAAAAATGAAAAAGAAAGGTATATTTGTCACATTTTATTTTTAACAGTGTTTTTGAGGTATGCTTTGCATCTTATAACACTTACCCATTTTAAGTGTACAATTCAGTGCCTTGTAGCAAATTCATATAGTTGTGCAACTGTCCCCCCAACCCAGGCTTAGGACATTTCCACATCCCCCAGGAACCCCCAGAGCTCATTGCAGTCAGTGCCGCCTGTAACCTCACACCCCAGACAAACCCTGGTCTGCTTGCTTCTTTAAATCTGTCTTTCGTGGACATTGCCTTTTTTATTTTTATTTTTGGCCCTCTTTTGTTATTCCATTGACCAGTTGATGAACACTTGGATTGGTTCCAGTTTAGGGTTATTGTGAAGAATTCTGCTCTGAATGAGTCTTTGTGGACCTAGCATTTCATTTCTCTTTGGGTAGATTCTTAGGAATGGCATCGGAGTGTTTGTAAACGTCCGTTTAAGTTTTAAGACACTGCAGAGCTGCTTTTCCAAAGCGGCCACATATTATACATCACCATCAGCAATTTGGGAGAATTTCGGTTTCTCCACCGTCTTGCCAACATTTGCTGTTGTCTTTTGGGCTAAGCCATTTTGTGGTATTTCTGTGTGGTTTCAGTTTGCATAGGACTATAATCACACATTTATTATGCAAAGTGGCAGTGTGTCTGCAGATGAATTCTTTCTACAGTCAAGTTGCAGACAACGTAAAAAGCTCATTTTAAGGTTTCAGTGTTTTAAAACCTTGCGGCTGACCTGCTCTTCATTATTACAGATTTACAATAGTGTTTTTCTCTGGCTCGAGCATCTTGTACCAATTTGAAGAGCTTAATGTACGGGCAGTGCAGGCTTCAGGGCACCGGCTGAGTTGCCCTCCTGCCTCCTCAGCTTACTTGCAGAGTGGCTTCTGGCTTAGCTTTTCTGTGCCCCCCCACTTTATTTATTTATTTTACTGAAAAATGGAACTGATAGTTCCACATAGCTTATCACATAGTGGTTATGAAGCAATATGTGTAAAACACTTAGAACATATATGTGTGTTCTGATTTGGAAACAGCACAACCACTTTTAAAAACAAAGTCTTCATAAGAAGTTGGAGTAGACCAACTTCCTTTTCACTGCTTAGCACTTCCCGGGGCTCTTTCTCAGGCCGTCTAGAAAACCAACAGACTTTAGCTACTGTGGCTGCCACTTCTGCTACTGAGAAAGGTATTAGTGTGTCGTACGTTTCCTCAGGCTGGTGTAGCATGGCACAGGAGAGACTCCCTGGGCAATCTAAAGCTGGTGGCCGGGGGAAGTGATATTATATAGAAGTCCCTCTGGGTTTTGAAGCAACTTCAGTTCTTTATGACTCAGTGAAGCCCCATCTACAGACCAGAACAAAGAAACATGCAACCTTTATTCAACTCCTGGCCTTCAAATCCATTTATTAAGATTTCATAGTAAATTTATGTTCAAAACCCATATATTGGGTTGTCGGAAAAGTCATGACGCATTTTTGCAATGAAAAACATAGAAAAAATACGTCATGACTTTTCCGACAACCCAATAGCTCGGTCTGGTTTTGTTCATGCTAACAAACAGGTTAACTGACTGAGACATAAAGGTATCAGGCTCAGGTGCCAAACTGATCATGTGTCTAGGTGTGAAGACCCCCATTGTGGCCGCTGATGGCTGGGCATGGCTGTGGATGGGTGTAGTCATGGCACTATGAAAAGTCTATAGTTTCCATTTTAGTTTAAACAAATTAGCACGATTCTATGGTAAGTACTGTTTCCCCTCCTTTCTCTCTAATGATCCGTCAGCCTTAAAACACTATGTAACAAATAATATGAAAGCTAAATTTATGTCAGGATACCAACCCTATTTACAATTCAGGGATTAAGGTTATGTTGAGCAAGAATTGTAAAATGTTAATTTACTTAATTGAATGAGAAAGTTCCCATTTATAAATACGGCTTATTTCAGATCGCACCTATACTCACTAAGAAAATCAGATTTTCTGTGCATATCCAGTGTCATTAAGTCCATGATGACAACACTAAGTCACTTGAAGACATCACAGACTAGCTAATATGATGCGAACACGGGAAGCCTTGGCCTCTTTCTTTAGCGATTGTGGAAAGGAATAGATGATACTCTTGACAAGAAACATCTCTATTTTTTTAAAAAATAGTTTTGAAATTGGATTTTTAAAAAATATTGAAGATAATCAGGTTATAGATCTCTTAAATTGGAGTGCTCTTTCATGCCAAGGTTGTATGGTAAAACCTTTGTCTAGCTAGTTTCATTCACTGATGCTACTGTGCATAAGGAACTGGATTTACGTGGTTGAGAGTTCATGATCTGTTTGCAGTTCATATAGTAGAGGGCTTTAAATGATTTTTTTTAAGTACCAGAGTTAAGCTTCTCTATGACTAGCCGGAAAAGTATGAAGCAATGGATGCCGTTCCTGAGAACGTACCTCCTGTACCCCCAACATACCCAGAGCACCCTGGAAACTGCTTCTCAGTACACTTTCACTAGAGGAATCAACTGCTGATGGCTGAGGCTTATGACAGTGACGTGCTAGTCCACATATTCTGCGGCAGATGCGCTGCTGGGGTTTACACTGTGCATCCGCCCAACTGGTGATTGACAGGGACACACGACAAGAAGCTGAATGGCTGTACCGTGTTGCTGGGTGGCCCGGCAGCACCAGAAACTGTGCTCTCTGAGACCACACGGATCCCATCTTGCTGCTCCTGCCCCCCCCCCTCCC